CAAAATAAGAATCAACAAATCGGTTCACAAATGCAGTCAAATTGAGAAACTCCTCCCTTTTTTGAAGTCCGTTAAAACGCTTTTTTACATTATTATTTACATATATTTTCAATAGACCAAATAGATTTATATTCTCATTTATAAGTGGACAACTAATAATTATGTATAAAAATAAACTAAATTCTAAAATCGTGTTTTCTCAATTCCGTAATTTTTGAGTTACGACAGTACATAAGGCGCACTATAAGTTTCCGGAACTGGCCACTTACATAAACAATATTTAAAAAGTAATTACAACATTTGAAAATGGAACTCTTTGGCTGTAGAATACAGTTTGTTTCATCTGACTGTCACTTGTTTTTACATTGTGGCGTCATTTTAGAAATTGGTTGTCTACATCACCATGGATTTAACTCGTGAAAATTTTCGTAGCATGATTTTCTACGACTTTAAGGGTCGTTGTCCAGAACTCTACTCAATATTCAAGTTAGGACTTGAGTATTGCAGTGAGTACTGAAAATCATACTCAAGTCCCTGCCATTAGAGTCGTATTTCCAGAGCTTGAAATCATACTCAAGTCTGCTCAAATCCTGACTTGAGCATTGAGTAGAGTTCTGGAATACGATCCTAAGCGTAATTTGACAGCTCAGTGGAGCTTTGCTCGGCTTCAAACTGCTTTCGGCGATGAAGAACCATGCAAGACGACTATTTATAGCTGGTTTGCAGAGTTCAAACGCGGTCGTGTGACGAATTTCGTGATGGTCGCCCATTCATTGAGATTCGGGAATCTTTAGGCATAGGCATAAGTCAAATACAATCAATACTACTCAAACATTTGGATGTGATCGCGTCACTTGGTGCAATGCCATGCTTACCAGATTCAACGAAGGGGCGTCAAATTTGGTGTGCGACATAGTAACAGGTGACGAAACATAGATTTATAGTTACGATCCCAACACAAAGCAGTAAACGAGCGTATGGGTCTTTCGAGATGAGCCGAAACCAACCAAAGTGGCACGCGTGCAAAATGCCTCTAAGCGGATGATTGCTTCTTTTTTTTAATAAAACTTGACACGTGGCTCCTGTTGCTTTGGAGAATCATTGTACTGTGAATAGTGATTGGTACACGACCATTTGTTTGCCGGAAGTTATTGACAAACTCCGCAAAAATAACCGTAAACGCCGTATCATCTTGCACCACCGCCAGACAGACAAATGAATTTGTGAAGGTGAACAACGTTGACCATGAGGCATATGAGCCATCCCGTGTACAGTCCCGACCTGGCACCTTGTGACTTTTATTTATTTTCAAAAATGAAGAACCAGATACGCGGTCAACGATTTTCATCACCTGAAGAGGCTGTCGAAAAGTTTCAGAGGATGTTTCAGAGATTGTCACGGAGGAGTGGCATAAATGTTTTCAAAATTGGTTCATTCGTATGAAAAAGTGCATTAACGCTAACGGAGAATATTTTCACAAACAATAAATTCATTTCTGACCATTCATAGTATTTTTTCTTATTCATTCCGGAAACTTACAGTGCGCCCCACGTATTCGGTGTCATATGCGATGTATTCCGTTATAGATACAAATGTATAGTCAAAATACACAATTCAAAATTGGCATTGCGGTGCTATCGCAGCGCATTCGTTATGCTCTCGATAAATCCAAATTAAGCCGCACGGCTGCCTAGACGCCATCGGTCAATTTTATATGAATATCACGAAACGAACCAATAGTTCCACAACGGTGAATAACCGTATATGGTTGATTATAACGTATTTTCATTAAAATTATTTCACAAGATGAATAATGCTACTAAAGTTCATTTCTACCGATCGTATATGCATTATTTCAACCGCGGCGTGCTTCCTGCTCCTGACAGCCGGAAATAAAGCCTTCCGACAAGTAGTAAGTAATTATTATTGCTAGTTTTTTTCCATCTACCTATTTGTAATCTAGATGTCATTTCTTCCTATTTGTCGATAAGAACAATTGAGGTAACACATTCGTTTGTACCTAAGTACAACATACAAGCTTTACAGGTGTACAGTGTGCTCCTTATTGATACCGATCAAAGAGAAAAAAACCGGTATTTTGTTATATTAAATAAGAGTGAAGGTAAACATAATGTGTATATGATCTGCTTCTAACTTATTTGAACACGTACTGAGTTAAATTGATGTCGTGTATTGTTTGCTGTATAATTGTAATTAAACAGCATAGAAGTGTATTTAATTTTACAAAGTAGGTTGTTGTAAAATAACACTAAATAATGCTGTGGTAATGGTTTATGTCGACACCGAATGCTGCTAGAAGTATAACTTTCTTAAAACCATTATTGTCATAATTACGTAAAATTTTATTTGCAAACCGGTTCATTCACTCTTGATCTACCTCTTTTTGTATTTATTTTTGGTACTCACGTTAATGTTTGTAACCACTGGCAGGGTCGCCACTTGTACGGGTTGCTTCTTTGGGGTACCAAATGAAACACTTTGTTGGGTAACGAATTAACACGCCACGAACCAACGTTTCTCACGCCTTCGGCCGTACTCACCTCACCAGCGAGTGTTTCTTTTAATGCTATACGTTACATATACTACCTCATCTCAAAATAATTCGAGAACAGAATCGACGCAAAAGCGCGAGTCGAGCAGCAGGGACACTGACTTCATTTCAGATTTTTTTCTACAAACAAAATTGAAGCCATTTGAAAAATGTGCTCGTATATGTATACGTATATGCGGCATAGAGAGAGCAATGGTCGCAGTTACTCTGCGAGACCGAAAAAGGAACGCTTGGATCCGAAATAGGACCAAAGTTAAAGATGTCATGGCTGTCGGGCCGAAAAAAGGTGGGCGGGGCACATTGCGAGAATGGACAAAGCGAGTACTTGAGTGGAGACCCAGAGCGGACATCAGAGGGCGCAGCAGACTTGGTCGATATTCCCTTCAGGCGTAGTAAGCGCTTTTCATCATCTTCACACAGGCAGGCACAGCCCGGGAATGGAATTCCCGAAAAATGGAAATGGAATGCCTGCGCCTGTATTTCCGAATTCATACAACCCGGGTACCTTTAAGAAGCGACTGAATAGGTTCTGGGCAAGCTCGTACCATCGTAGATCCTATCTTCGCTCCAGAGATAGGTAGTGGTGACAAGTACCTACATTTAAAAAAAAATATCGTTAATAAGAAATAATATACAAAAACGATATCAATCGTTTTTTTTATAAAATCAATATATTCAATTAGATACATTGGTCACGTATATTGGGGAAATAAGGATCGAGAAACGAATAGCTTGTCAATATGTCAAAATAGTGAAACATTAAAAAGTGCAATGTAAGAAAAGCAAAGTGTTTCCGGAGAAATGATACAAAATCTATTCAATAAAAGTCTAAAGGTTTTCGGAGTAACAAATTTCTGTAAATCATGTTTCTAGCTTGTGTTAGGTAACCCCACGGACATTTACATAATATAAAGTACTTCCAGGCTATTATAATCAGCGGTCATCTGTATATAAGACGGATTTTGACCTTTTTTTCAGGGTTACGATCTCTAGAGTATGGATGTTAGCAGTCTTCTTGAGTTACTGGTACATGATGACACCAAATACTGTCGTAACTCAAAAATGGTGGATATGAGAAAACAGAATTCGAAAGTTTAAAAAATTACTGAACGGTTCTTCGAATAATGGGATTATTTTTATGTATACATATTATTTGTCCATTTTTTGAACTTTCAAATCATGTTTACTCAACTCCACCAATAACCGCTTACGCGATGAGCTCTTCCTACCGCAAAATGGCGGCTATTTGGTTTTGCAAATTAGAAAAGCGTTCAGTTTAAATACAGTTTTTATAAATAAAAATTATTATTCTGCATTGCTAAATAAATACCCTCCGTACTACCAACAAAAACATCTCAAATAAAATGCAGTAATACACCGCAAATCCTGCACTTAAAAAGCACTAATGAAACTTTTGGTGTACTTGGATAAATATGATAATATTCCGTTTGAGTGGTTCTACCGTTTACCATGAAATTACTCCTTAAAGTATAGTTTATAAACATTTATATTCAGTGTAAACTTAAAAATGCTACTTACGGTATGTTTTCAATAAATAAACACCGAAATCACCAGCGCAAACAATAACACACACGATTGTCGTGACGTATTTTTGAAGTTGTTTATTTTTTTTAAATGACAGACCCAGGCATTAAAAACTTTATGGTTTGCTAGAGTAGTTACCGAAATAGCAATTAATATTAGTTCTTTTACCTGTTATACTCGTAACTTCGATATCTGATAAATCGGTATAAAATCATCACCGGCACCTCTAGGTGTGGTCTACGGCTGTATGTATCGCGTGAGCGGATAGAGTTACAACAGTTTTTATTTCATGTGGGATATGCGTTATTCTAGAAAGCTATCGATTTGTCTACACCAGTCTTGATGTTTGTTATAAAGTAACTAAGACGAAGAAATAAATTATTTCTCGAAACAGACAATATCGTTTCAGACCAAAGCAATTTCTTCAAACTTCTTATCATCTTCAAAAGAAGTGCAAACGAACTTCGGCACCGAGAACAGAGAATAAAACTTACAGAAAGAATTCGCGAGAGCAATAAACATTTCATTCTACATACAGTGCCAAAAACAATGCATTTCCAAGAGGGGAGAACTACCTTCTAAAACTCATAAAACAGAACAATACGGCCCGACATATTTTTGCCAAAGATACGCCTTTCTCACATACGCACACAACTAAAGAAACACAAACATGTTTTACGTAAATGAGTGTGTCGAACGACTCGGAGTCTATTACATCGGCTAGCAAAATTCGCAGGGGAAAAGCAAAAAACTTACAGACAACAGCCATGACATTTATCTAATTATGGGATCGCGATAAAGGCGCGCGAGGGGACGGGGAACGGGGAAAATTCAGGGGGGAGAAGTGCTGGCAACGGAGGCTGTGCCGCAGTAAGGCTCCAGCTGTCGGCAGAGGCGCACCTTGTTTTCTATTACGTGTCCTGTAGAACACGCTCGCGTACTCCTATATTCTCCACGAAAAAAGTTGCGATAGTGGTTTTAAAAATTTCTACATAAATTTTCAAATATAAATTATAAAACTATGAATGTCAGTGCGTTTTGGATTATATGAAACTGCAGTTGGGAAATGCATAATGGAAGTCGATTTTTGGTAACTGTGTGCAATGATTAGTGCTACTTGACGTGTTTATGAAGACTTGGTTTTTCAACATGACTGTACTTCTTGTTTTTGGACTTTTTGTTGGTAAGTTTTGTATGAATTAATGAGCAAATTTTATGGCATAATTAATTTTTAAATTGTAATTATAATAATAAAAATTAAGGATAAAACTATGTTTTACGTTGTGCTTGTTAGTGTAGGAAATATCGGTTATATATTTATTTATTTTTACATAACTCTATGCAATTATAGTTTCCTAAAATATTCATAGATTAGAGTTATCGTAAAAGTAAATACAGAAAGAAAATTGCAGATATACGTCGCTCTTCTGTAAATCAATTGTAGAATTTAATTTTTTATTAAAATTTCAATCCAATTTCTTATTAAACACTATCTTTCTTGAATTGTCATAAAATAACACATTTAAAATTTGATTAAATTAATCAATAAATATACAAATAATTTCCATCTGCCAGACGTGGCTCTGGTGATCTAGTGTTTTTTTTATATGATACTAACTGGCGGGATGAACTAGACGTGTCTGGCGGCACTGCCACTGCGCCTGTCACCCTGAGACTCTAGTTCACAAGTCTCATGTGCCTGTAATTTCCACTAGCACCTTTACGCTTGGCGGCAGAATTGTAATTACAGGCATATAGGACTTGTCAACTTAATTTGACGTGCGCCTCACTCACCTCCGTAAATGGTATCATAACAAAAAATATTCCCTGTATCATTAACCAGAACCCATTTAGAAAAGTTAATTTCCAAAACCTACCGAGAATCGAACCTGGGACCTCCTGATCCAGCGCCACTTAGGTCGCAATAGTTGAAGGGACCGGGTTCAAATCTGTTAAAGAGACTTTCTTATATCGTCCATTTATGTATCCCCTTTGGTCAAGATGTAATTTTGATAGAAAATAGTTTCCTTAACTACATAAGTTTAATTCGTGTTGTAAAGTAAGTAATTACTTGAACGTGAGGTGCTCGTTCTCAGATTTTCTATTACGTTCTACATGACCCTTGTACTCCGCCTTACTTAAGAAACGTTTTAGCTTCCTCGGGGAAGGTCACAACCGTGAACTTAGTTAGGTCTCAAATGGATAACCTACTACAACCTCCTTTGAATCGCTCGGAGTGTTACAAAGACTCCATTACGATTAAGGCTGCATTACTGTGGAGTGAACTCCCGTTAGACATCCGGCATTGTAAGTCGCTTCCTATTTTCAAAACTATTTAATTTTTTTTTATTTTAACGTGCCGAATAAGTCGTGCGCCTGGTGGTAAGCTACACGCCATAACAGTTGTTCTGCCACTGCGCTCGTCACCCTGTGACATAAGTTGACAAGTCCCATGTGCCTGTAATTTCACCAGCACCCTTACCCGGCACTAAATCGGAACGCAGTAATGCTAACATTACTACTTAGCGGCAGAAATAGGTAAGGAAACAGACAAGGACCTCTACTGCTGCTAAATATCGCGGTAATATCCTCTGATTCTGTCCAAGTCAGCAACGCGTATATATTTATTAATATGTATATAAGTTTATTATGTTATATTTATATATACTAACATATTATACTAATATATTATTTGATAAATTATAATATTAATTATTGTTTATCAATATAATTCAAATTTTGCCATTGGCACACTACGCATCCCGCTCTGATTAGCTTTCTTATATATATATAAGAAAGCTAACTTGCTATATATATATATATATATATATATATCTCTCTCTCTCTCAAAGGTTATCTGGAAGAGATTGTTCTTAGCGATAAGGCCGCCTTTGCTCACATTAGTTTTAAGCCAGCTGTCTATGAACTGTTTAACTGTTTCTGTTCCTGTGTGTGAGCAATGAAGTGTATATATATATATATATATATATATATATATTTGCTATATATATATCTGTGTATATATCTACGTTCGTTAGCGCTGTCAGAAAAGCGCCGTGTGGACACAGAGAAATTCAATTTCAAATTTTCATACTAAATAATCGTACAAGCCACAAAACGTTTGTCACAAACACTAAACGAAATGCAGAAATAATAAGTTTAAAGTGAAATTTAAATTGTAATGGAATGTCCAAAAACTCCGTGTGGTTTTTGTCTCTAGCTAACTTTGAACAAATAATAATCTAAGATCATTTTACAACTAATATTTTAACGAGACTTTTAAGAATAAGTGAGGAAAGTTTTAAGTTTATCATCAATAGCTGGTGGTAATATACTATTTTTTATAGTTTTTTTACGCACATGCTCATTTCGCCGCATTGTGGGAACCCTAAACCTAAAAGGTGAAGATGTCACACACAATTGCTAAACTCACTGCGCCATGCCGCCTTCAAACATTGTATTCTATATATTAACAACAAAATTGTGTATCACTGACAAAGCTTTTCGAGAAAACGAAATGTAGCACGTAATAACACCCGATCGTAACCTGTTAAAACCAATTAAACACACAGCAAGTACCGTAATTACTATGAATTTTGAATGAAATAATAATAAAAATAACGCACGTACTTATAGCCTCGCATTAGGCAAACCCTGTGTCGCGAGTGCCATAGACATACACATAGGCATACGGCATTTTGCTTTGGGGTAATGCCGCCGATATCAATAGAATCTTTGTCCTGCAGAAACGTGCAGTTAGGGCAATTTACAATCTGGGCCCCAAAGTGTCTTGAGAGATAAGTTTAAGGAAATTAACATTCTTACACTAGCCTCACAGTACATTAATGAAAATGTAATTTATGTTAGGAGGAATAGTAATAAGTTTATGAAAAATAGTGACAGACATAACATTAATACGAGGAATAAAAATAAATTAGCTGTTCTTGATAGTCGTCTTCACAAAGTCAAAAAATCGTTTAAGGGGCAATGTATACGCTTCTATAACAAGATTCCGGTCGATATACAAAATTTGCCTTTCACGAGGTTTAAAACTATAGTGAAACAAAAACTTTATACTAAAGGTTATTATACAACTTCTGCGTACTTGGATGACAAAAATCCGTGGCAGTAACCCGTTTAGCTCATGGAGGTAGCCTCGATCTCTGATGTTTCGAAACAAAAAAATATATTGTAAATATTGAATGCGTACAAATGTTATTTACAAAGAGCAACCCCTAGAGTTTTGAGCTCATTCTTCTCAGGGGAATCTGCCTTACGAATGAGCGGTAGAGTTTAACTATTGTGACGATTTCAAGTGTAATAATGCTTACCTATGAAATAAAGATTATTTTGAATTTGAATTTGAATAGGCAACCACAAATTACACCCAAACTCAAGAGAGAAATAAATGTAGGCAATGCAATCCAGCAAAGTGGTTACTTTTCGGTTCGGTCAGGGAGGCAGTTATCAATTCTCCGTATATCCGCTCACGCGATTCATGCGTCTCTGGAAGCATACCACACCTAGAGGTGCCGGTGATGATTTTATACCTATTTATCGGATATCGAAGTTATAACAGGTAAAAGAACTAATACTAATTGCTATTTCTGTAACTACTCTAGCAAACCATAAAGTTTTTAGTGCCTGGGTCTGTCATTTAAAAAAAATAAACAACTTCAAAAATACGTCACGACAATCGTGTGTGTTTTTGTTTGGGCTGGTGATGTCGGTGTTTAGTTATTGAAAACAAACCATAAGTTGCGTTTTTTAAGTTTACCCTGAATATAAATGTTTATAAACTATACCTTAAGGAGTAATTTCATGGTAAACATTAGAACCACTCAAACGGAATATTATCATATTTACCCAAGTACACCAAAAATTTCATTAGTGCTTTTTAGGTGCAGGATTTGCGGTGTATTACTGCATTTTATTTGAGATGTTTTTGTTGGTAGTACGGAGGGTATTTATTTAGCAATGCAGAATAATAATTTTAATTTATAAAAACTTGTATTTAAACTGAATACTTTTCTAATTTGCGAAACCAAATAGCCGCCATTTTGCGGTAGGAGGAGCGCATCGCGTGAGCGGATATTTTACTTTGTAAACTAAGACTTATTTTTGTCAAAATGTAGCGTATACTCTTCTAGATCCCATTGATCTCCAAAATGCATCAAAACTGGTTAAGCAGCTTTCGCATTTATATCATTAGTTTATTACAAAGCCGTCAAAAACTATTGCAGATTCTAGATTCGTGTTCGTCCCAAATCCAAGAGTATACAAATCTAGAAAACTCGAACCCACTTCGGATGTCGCTTGTGCACTAAGACCGATTCGAGTCCAAAAAAACACGAATATCGTTTGTACATTTAGAGATAAAATGATCCTTGTGACATTTCGGACCGTCATTTCTCGGTATCTAGAGAATTAAGTAAGAAACTCTACTAGGGGTTGTCTTTTTTAACAATATACAGGCTGCCCGATAAAGAATGGATAAGCCTGAAATGCCTTATAGTAGAGCTTATGAACGTTAAAAAATATATATAAAGAAAAATATATCCCATGTATTATCTAAGATATACATATTTTTTTCTTTAAATTTAATTATTTTCATCTTATTTTACGTTTTTGTACACCACAACTACAAGTTAAATAATTTCTTCGGTTTTTTGGTGTCATAATATTCTACATTAACTTTACTAATAGATAGCTAGTAAATAGTTTGACTAATTATGGCACTTCAATTAAAAAAAAAGTTTTATTTTATTTTTCAGTGTAATTTTTTTTTTCACCACGTTTAAACATCTTTGATATAAAAAAACTTACAAAATGACGGCTGTCCTGCGCACTATGCGGTCCCTGTTCGAGCATATTTGAATAGAACATACCCAGATAGATAGATCGGCCATCTGGGGCCAATTTTATGGCCTCCGCGTTCACCGGACTTAAATGCACTGAATTTTTTTTGTTGGGGCTACCTTAAAGAAATTGTGTATAGTAAGCCGATCAGGTTTTTGGAAGACTTACGTAGCCATGCCAGTGCAGCCGCTGCAACAATAAGTGAACGACGATAAACGCGGCTACTCAAAAGGGCTTTTATCCGAAGATGTAGAGCCTGCATCAGGGTCAATGGCAAACAGTTTGAACATTTGCTGTAAACAAATTGTAAATAAAGTCGTATTT